GTTCCTTCTGTGAGGTAGCATGAAAGGATGCTCCAGAATCTAACACCCAAGACTCTTCTCTGTTCTCCAAAGAACATATCAGCAAGTCTCCTCCTGAGACTGAAGCAACATCTGCCTCTTCTTTTTCCTCCTGGTTCTTTGGTGCACTCCTGCACTGGTTTTTGTAGTGCTCGGTCTTCCCACAATTCCAGCACTCGATCGACTTCGAGTTTTGGGAATTACGATGATTTCTGGACTTGGACCTTCTTCCTCTTGACTCTGTATGCAATACAGAAGAGGTCGATGGGTCACCCGACTCCCTCCGTCGGATCTCTTCACTGAGAACCAAATTTTGGACATCATCAAATCTCAACTTATTGCTTCCCGACGAGCTACTCACAGCCGTGACCGTAGCATTCCAACTTTCTGGTAGGGAAGACAAAAGTATTAAAGCCCGTACTTCATCATCGAACTCGATCTCAACTGAACTGAACTGGGTTGTGACGGTGTTGAGCTCATTGAGATGATGTGCCACCGAGGCACCTTCGGTCATCCGAAGGTTGAACAATCGCCTCATCAAATGAACTTTATTTGAGGCAGATGGTTTCTCGTACATGTTGGAAAGAGCCTTCATGAGGCCTGCTGTCGTCTTTTCTTTTGCAATGTTAAAAGCAACATTACGGGATAACGTCAGCCGAATGGCTCCAAGGGCTTGTCTGTCAAGGAGACTCCATTCTTCCTCCTTCATGTCTGCTGGCTTCTTTCCCGTGAGTGGTTGATACATATTCTTCTGGTACAGATAATCCTCGATCTGTATCTTCCAGAAACCAAAGTCCGCACCATCGAACTTTTCGATTTTCATTTTTCCTTCGTCTGCAGCCATCACTTCGTCTCTGATCTGACTTCTCTGCCGGATCGTTTCTGTAATTTTTGTGAACTACCGTGTTTCAGAACACGTCGGTAGATAAATTTGTAGCGCCGACAAATTTGGCACTATTCCCGTTTTTCACTATTCACGGAATAGTAATCGACACAAAAAAATACAGAATTAACAATCTGGCACTGATACCAGTTGTTGAGAAAAATACGCTGAAATTTCCATGAAGTCGGATCTATAAAAGTGAAATAAAAACGAAAAATTGGACACACCAAATTGATAACGGAGTTCGGCCAATAATGCCTACGTCTCCGGACTACTGCAGATATTTTATTGGGAAAAAAAAATACACTCGTGTTTACAAAACACTCTCGAAACCACTCACAAGTCACAACTCAAAAATACACACAAAGGCTAATTATTTTTACTCTCTCTCTCTTTCTTTTCTCTTGAAATGTTGCTGTATTTTTGTTGTGGTTTGCTTCAAAATTGTGCTCCTATTTATAGCTGAAAAATGTGCAAAGTTGCTGCAGAATTTGTGCAACTTTCGGCTGCAATTTATTGCTCAGCCTCCTTCAACATTAATTTCAGCCACCATCATTAATTAAAGCCACCATAGCCACCTTATTAATGGCCTCGTGCAGCCAAAATTAAATGTGGTCCCAAATTGTCTCTTATCAGCAACATTGTGAGCTTCCTCAACAGATTTCTAATGATCCCGTTACATAGATTACGATTGTTCGGCTAAATTTCGAATTTTTTCTTGATTGTGAAAGAACCATAAAAATGTGAAATCTTGATTTTTTCTCCCTAATTTCCAATGTCTTTTTTGATCATGTTTATCGATCGAAATTACTGATGATCGTGTTTTCATGGCTTATGATGGATCATCGACAAAATTTCGTTTTTTTTTTCTTCATTCACCTTTTTAAAATATTGATTTTTTATTTTATTTTAATTTTTTTTCAGGGGTGGCAGCAAATGTAAAGCTGCTGCTAAAACTTATTGAGGACCATCGAAGTGACAAGGAAAAAACCGGGGCCCGACGAATGCTGAGGGTGGCCACAATGATGACTGTTCTGGACACGGTGCGCGACCGGATTCAGAAATGCCAATCGTTCCGTAACAGGTCGTCCGGCGGGCCCGAACTTCGCAGGTGCATCACAATGATCCCGAGGCCTAGTCCCAGTCGGCCCGATAGGCCCAACATTGTGGATGATGAGAAAGAGAGTCTTAGGAGAGAGCTAGTCTCAAGCCTGGCCTCTCAGAGAAACCTTCAGGTCAGTGTAAAGATTCCAACTTTTATGGTTATATTTTGTTATTGGCTGAATTGCAAATTTGTTCATATCAGTTTATGAAGTTTAAGTCTTGTAATTTAAAATGTTGCCGTAATTTCGGTCATTTAGCTGTCAAAATTCCCAATTTGTACATTTGGGGATTGGGATCGATTTTGATTAGCAATTTAAGTCATGTAATTTAAAATTTTTTGTTGTAATTTCAGTGCTTTTGAGTGTCAAAATTAGGAATTTTAACCGTCAAAGTACTGAAATTGTAGGAAAATTTAAATTATAAGACTTATATTGCTATATGTTACTCAAGTGGGACATAAATGGCTACCTTCATTATTTGATAGGACCAAAAATGCAATTTAGACTTTGTTATTTCTATCTTAGACTTAGAGTTGTAATTCAAAATTTATTAGATTTTCAATATTTTCCAGTGACAGTTATTCATGTTTTGGTATGATTCAAAAGTCTTTCTTGATTTTTTTTTTTTTTTTTTTTTTTTT